AAGCTAGACACCTTCTCCCAAGTAGGGGACAAAACACTAGCTTTTAGAAAATATGTTATTGGCTCCAAATCTTAATCTTTCTCCTGCTCTGCTTTAATATCTATATCCGATCCCAGTTCTGACACCAATTTGTTATGTCTCTGGTTGTTTGTTAATTTCCCATAAAAATTCTTCAAGAGGAACATCAGCGATACAAGTCCTTTCTTAAATAAAACTAGTTTATTCTTTCTCAATTCAACTTTGCAATACACAGAATTTCAATGGTCACTTTAACTTAAATACATGCTATAATTCACAACGGTTCACACACTTCACTTACGGTCACTACTGCTTACTTGATTCAATTATCTGTCTATCTGCCAATCTTGTCTCCACTTTATTTGCCGGGCTTATATAAAAAAAAATAGAGGGCGCCTGGGAAAGACTAGAGTTGTCAGGAACAGTCATGATCCTTCTAGAAACTCCAGTGCGCATGCTTCCAGCATTACGTGACTTCGCTGTCTTAACAGTATCAAATTATGTTTTTGAAGCATGACTAATGTACTTACTGCACTGCTAATCCAGCTTCACTCTTTTGTCAGCAGTATTTACTCAACTAAAATTGTATGTCCACCTAACAGCTACATTAAAAGCTCATCTCACTCCTAGCTGACCGTTTAAATTTCGCCACCGTAATAAATTTGATGGGAAAGGTGTAATGGCATTTAGCACTGAAGTGAGAAAATTATGAAAAGATTGTGAGTTTGGTACCTTTTTAAACGAAGCATTACGAGATACATTTATGTGTGATCTTTCATCACAAACAATTCTAAGGAAATTATTGTCTGAAACTGATTTGACTTACAAGCGTGCTTTAGAGATAGCTATTGCAATGGAAATGGATGAACATGATGCTCGCATAGAGCTCCTGGTTGTGGCCCACACGGGTTTGGCAATATCTCCACATCAACAACACAGAATTTGGGAAAAGGAATTTCTTATATCAGTGGATTCACAATTTAAGTGGCCAGAATTTATAAAAAATTTTTACTAGTTTTTAATGTGTAACATATTTTTTTGTACTTAAATGCTGTAAACCTTTGATTATTATCTAATAAAGCTATATATATATATACACACACTGCTGTTATTTTGCAAAGCATGTTCTCAACTAAGTTCTGATAGTCTACGATGAAACTTGTTTTCATTGTTGTTTAAAATATCAAGGATGAAAATTTGAGACTGAACAGGCCATTTTATGAGGATGATATTGTTATTTTGACGTTTTCTGGCAGGAAGTATATGTGATCTTACCAGAATAGCTCATTGGCCCAAGGTCAAAAATTAAAATGCACATACATTTAAAATATCTTGATATCCAGAAATTTCACTGATTGGTTCCGTGTTAAACTGATAGAATACAGCTCAAAATTTAACATATCTAACACAGTCCTTCATAGCTATCACAATTAAACTGTTCTCATGTCTGCCTCCAAACCCATGTCTAGTATCCAGGGGCATGTTAACAATCTTAGGGGAGCATCTTAGGGAAACAAATTTAGAATTCTTATTTTTGAATTTCAAAATAAATTTAATTTTGAAATTGCTTTCCCAAGATGCACCCCTCAAATTGTTGGGCTTTAATATACCTTCCTGGTAAGTCTTTTGAGAAGGAAGAAGCTTAATTAAAATTGTAACCCTAGAGCACCAGTTAATCTAATTATGCCCCTGCTAGTATCATTTCAAAATTACATTCTCATCACTCTGAAAAATCTGCAATTTATCTAGATCCCTGAACTGAAGAGTTTTACACCAAGCAAAGCAAGTCAAGCAAACTTTGGGTGATGTACAGCTTGCATACTTCAACTTTTCCTATTTATAAACATTCACAAAGATTCTATTGTGGTGCCATAAGGAATACAGTAAAGTCACTAAGTGGATATTGCACACATAATTTCTATCTCTTTTTTTTCCAAATCTAATAAGCAAAATGTTTTTAACACCATAATTTCTGCATACTTGAAAATGTTTTAGATGTTGGATTATAAAGTTATTGATATCATTGTAGGGTTTTAAGCACAGTAGATCTTACATAACCAAAGATTGTAACTATCTTCATGTACTGATTTTCACATTCTCAGCAGCTCATAATCCTTTTTCTCTGAACTTGCCACATTTCATATGATTTTGGCATCTTGTACACACCATTACTCTGCTATTCTACCTAGTTGGTAGTTATACTCAATGGGTTTCCTTGCAGGGCACACTGGGGAGGTCATGTCAAGTGTTCAATAAATAGTTCTCAGATATTTTAAGATGGATGTATATATCAGAATGTAATTAAGGCAATTGGACACTGATACAAATAAATAACTATGAGTGAAAAAGTTATGTGTTAATTAAAGATCTGGCTGCGATGAAGTTTTTTATATATAAATAAACATCACTATGAATGATGTTTGTTTGTTTTAGTGTAAAGCTATCCAATGGGCTACCTGCACTGTGTTATAAGCCATTAAGATTACCACTGAGCCACCAGGGGACTAATATGAATGAGAAAACAACTTATTATTGTTACAAAACAAATGCCTTTTAATGAGAAATTCAGATAATAAAAGATACTGCTGTAAGTATCTGTTATTATATCTTCTTGAAATACTATTGAATTACTAGATTTTACAAATGCATAGATCACCACTAGAAGAAGCCTCGTCTTATTTTCTGATTTCTTTTTGTTCAGGGTTACTAATGAAGGGCGGAATTCCCTAAAACCACTCCTCCCCAGTTGGGACAGCAGTAAATTTACGGACTTAAAATGCTAGAATCTGGAGTTAGATTCCCCCTGTGGTGAACACAGCAAAACAAATTTCTAAAACCAGTCTAACAGAGTGACAAATGGTGAAATGAATAAAAGATTAATCCTAATAAGGAACGTGAAGCCCAAAGATAATTGAACACTAAAACTGGTTAGATATTGGTACAAGGAAACTGACTGTATATTAATACTAGCTATTGGTACACCAAAACTGGCTTTAAATGAAAAACAAATGAAAACTGATATATAGATAACTGTAAACAAAACTTTCTTCTTTCATTTAGTTATGCTGTTAGAATATGTAAAACAAATTGTGTACAATTTCTGATATTTAAGTTGTATTAATGTATAAATAACTAATATAATTTAAGTACCAAATTTTGAAGAGAATTAAAGTTGATAATGCATTTGTTTACTTGTAATGATATAAATTAAAAGAAATTCAATACAAATTTATCATTAGTAATTGCAAACAACATCGGAGCAAAATATAAATATTTTCACGTATACTTCAAAACATTTATAAAATGTACATGTAAGAAGTTATAAAAGCAAACCGATTTCAAACTTTACAAGTATATTTAAAAACATGTAGAATCATTCTAACCAAGTAATTTACTGAAAAACCTGCTGCCTGCACAGTTTTTTGAACTAAAACAAGACATTTGAACATTATTCTTTTAATAAAATCACATTCAAGAGTATACATTCATTTCCACATTGCACATGTTCATAGAATATAAATAAAAACAATATAAAATCCTATTACTTATGTGAACAAAACAAATTCAATTATGAAATCTATAAATTGTACATCCAATTAACATAAACATACAAAAACATTCATATCTCAGTTTTACCTCATGGAAAGTTCTTTTATTTTCATAATAAGGATTCTGACATAATAATATATATTAATTAGCATAAACACATCAGTTTCACTTGTACCTGCAACCTTCACTACTCTTGAACAAATCATTTCAAGCTTATTTGGATATTGAGCTACACTTTGTACAAGCCTAAATACACTAAAAAATATCTAGTTTTAGGACCAGTTTATAGTAAAACTTTAATTCACACTTGGAATACCAAGTTTTATAAATGCTTTGTAAATATAAAGTTCTAAGTTTCAACATATACAAGTTCATTTAACCAGTGAAACATAAAATCTGTAGATTAAACAGCTAAAAAGGACAATAAAACTGAAAACTGTAGAAGAATTAAGTTTTTGTTTGTATGAGTATGAAATAAGCAGGAAAAAACCTAGTCTCAAAACTAACAGGCTTTCAATTACATCAAACTTAAAAAAACGTTCACGAAGGTTTAATTTAAAACTATTTTACAGCTAAGTTTAGCTCCGTCTGATTAAAAATAAATTAGTAGCAATATATATTTCTGGTGGAATAAGTGTACTTAAGAATAAAAGTACCTAATTATAAGACCACTGAAAAGAAAACTTCAATCTATGTAAGTTTCAGTCAACAATGTCTGGTTTCTAAACTAAAGCCTTATCCTATAGAAATTGAAATAAACTATTTACTAATATCAGTATGGATCACCAACTCTCCCTATGTTGACAAATTATGCTTTTATTCACAAAAATTTGTTTCTACAGCCAAGCTAAGCTACTCAAGACTTAAGCTTAAAATATTGGAAAAATTAATAAATCAGGAAGAATATCAAGAAAACTGGAACAAAGGTTTCATTTATATAAGGAAGTAATGAAATACTAAAAATACTTAGTTTCAATTGTATTCTAGAAATAAACTTTGGTGGTTAAAACTCATTCCAACCCTGGATTAGTCATCCATTTGTATTAAAACCTGCTATTTGCTGGTCCCAACACAAATATTTTTGTAAGGAAACTACTTTGGTTGTTATATGGGTGATTTATAGGCAATGAATATTTCTAAAGCCTTAGTATCCGACGTCTTCCTCTCTGATTTTTCATCTTTGCATTAGCAAAGTATTGTGCTTGTTTTTTCATTAGCTCCCTCTTATTGTGTTGATCTTCCTCACTACTGCTAAAACTGTCTGTTTAGAAAAAGAAAAAAATATGAAATCATAAACAAGAAAATTTAATAAATACATATAATGAAGTGTGTGTGTGTGTAAAGAATTAATCAAATATGAATTACATGCATTATAACAACGTGTTCAAACAACATAGCTTATATTTATTCAGAATACATTCATGAAGCCACATAACTTGGAAATTATAGGCTATTACAGTATTTGTGATTTTATTTGAAATATGCATGTTTTTATGAGATCACTAGCTTTAACCTTTTTGAGACGGGTCACAGGTGAAAGGCCATGTCATCTTGTTTGTTTACTCGCATTCAAAATTTTATTGAACTTCTATTTCATGAATTTATGTCAATAAGTGTGGTATCAAACTGTAGATTATAACTCAAATTTTAGAGCTATACATTACTCAGTTTGTTAATTTAAAAGTAAATATTAAAAAACACAGATAAACATTGATTTTTGTGTGTCACATGGTATGTTGAATGCAGCACTGGTTCAAATTAGATGTTTGTGAAGTCAAAATACTAAGTCTATAGTTTCGTACAAATTAGAAACTCAAATTACTGATATTGACAAGCTAGAATATACAATAAGAAGATCTTTCCTATTTGCTAAGATATTGCTCATGTAATAAATTAAACACAGTGGCACCCCACCCACCTCTTTCCATTTTTGGAAATGCTCCCTTATATGCACTTACTTCTATATATGACATGAATAAGAAATCGGAAGCTCAGAATGTCCCCATAGTGGTTTTTTCAGCCTTTCTAACATGGCTAGTGCCATTTCTTTCTTTTAAACCAAGATTTCAATGAGGTAAGTTGTGTCTTTAGTCTGCTTGAAATTTCATATTTTTTAAGAGTAAAATACATCTTAATTACCAAGCTTGATAAATTATAGTTGAATTCTATGGTATTAATGTAGTAATTTATGATTTTTTAGTTATTCAAATGGAAATATAAAACCTAAAAAAAATATTTTGTTTCATATCCTCCATATGCAAAATTTTTAAAGGCTTAGTAACCTACATCGGGCAGCAACCAAGTACAAAGGTCGTAACTAGAAGAGATAATTGTTTGCTTTACTTCTTTATTTACTGTTCTGTGTTTAGGAAAAATATGTTGAAAACTTATTTCAAAATAGCAATAATCTATATACACATATAATGTATAATAATTGAAATGTGA